CCTACGTAACCATGGTTCCCTGAGTAAGTAACCTGAGACGTTCCCTTTCAAGGGAACTTCGAACTGCGTCCTCTAGTGGTCGCTATGGGGAACGGTATACCCACGCCGCCATGCTGAGGGGAGTGCGGGCCAGAACCATGGCGAGCACTAAGTACCAACTTTACCATTTTCATGGTGAGTTGCCCCTGGGACGTCAGACGGCTGTCCGTGACTTTATCGCCTATGGCCAAAGGCCTAGGCTACATACCCAACTTACCTGTTAGGGCCAGACTCCTGGGCCCGGGGTAGAGCTCCAGGCTTGGAATCAAATGGATTCCTTTAAGGGGATACGACCAAGAACCTAGTATCACACTAAGTCTTGGCCTGTCACACAGGGGCTACCGCTTGCTCTTGCATAAGCTCTGAAAGGAACTGTCTCAACAGACCCCTAGTAGCAGCACCCTGTTAAAGTAGGTATCCTAGGATACCTAGGTGGAGTGGCGCCCAAGGTGAACGGGGCTCTAACCAGCTCAAGAAAAGGGCACGAAGCAACCGCGCGAAGCCCTCACTATAAAGGATTTTAGAAAAGAACGCAAAGAACTAGCGTGCGAACTTACCACAATGTGGATTTTAGAAAGTGCAAAGCAGCATGCTCATAGTAACCCTCAATGGTGAGGGGAGCGATACTTCCAAGTGTGTCAAATTAGAGACACACTGGTTGAGTGGAGCCCAAGGTACCGGGGTCTAACCAACTCAGAGAAAGGGAACGAAGGTAAAACGCATAACCCTTACCGTACATTATTTCAGAAAAGTGCGCAAAGTCTAGCGTGCACACTTACCACTTATGTGGATTTTAGAAAGTGCGCAAAGTGCTCAGCGTGCACACTTACCACTACTGTGGATTTTAGAAAGTGCGCAAAGTGTTCAACGTGCACACTTACCACTATGTGTGTTTCAGAAAGTGCACAGAGCTTAGCGTGTGCACTTACCATAGCATGGATTAACATTTCCAGGCATCTGATCACAGATACCCGGAGGTACTGGGCCAAACGGGAGAGACAAGCTCAAATACGACCCTCTAAGGCGAGGGGAGCACTGCCTGAGGCAGCATTACACTAAGAAGGTTCTCGCAAATACCACCTATACTTCCCGCTCGATGCCTCAGCAAGAGGGGATATCCTGGAGCATCCAGGATTTTTTTGCAGTGTCATGCCGGGGGCCTGATGATCAAGAAGGCTCCCGCAGAAGCCTCTGACCTGGCCGCATGAAGCCGGAACCAGGGCTATCATACCGGCTGAACACAATATCGACGAGTGAGGTAACACTGCAAGTCGAGCACCTAGTTTCTGAATCCAGCAAAGGTGTGCTCACAGAGGACCTACCTTAGAAAGGACAGAAACACACAGGTCCCGGAAAACACTGCAAAGAAATCTCACAGAAGGATTAAACACACATAACCACCAGCACATTAAATACATATATATACAGGTGCATCTCAATAAATTAGAATGTCGTGGAAAAGTTCATTTATTTCAGTAATTCAACTCAAATTGTGAAACTCGT